CTGTCTCTCCCTTCTTCCGTCTCACATTCTCTTTCTCTGTCTCTCTTGCATTCCCGCGTGGAGTAAAGACACAACCAGATTGTGCTATCTCGTGGGGAGAGGGAGAGGGGGAGGGGGAGGGGGCGACCCCGTGTGTTCATTTCGCTTCTGGTCCGCAACCGTGAGACGAACGCTCTCCGCGTCGTTGTAAAACGGCTCTACTCCCGCTCGCGAGATCTTTGCGAATATTATGCATCCCAAGTGTCGCACAAAATTAGCGCGTCGTGATATCGGTCGCTCCAATCTGAGATCGATCGACGACGTATCCGTCGTGACAATTTTTACATGAGAACGTTTCTTTAGTATCCCTTTCTATCGTATTCGTATTATATACATCTCTCTTTATCATATCTGTATTACACATTTCTTCTCGCTTCCAAAACACATAATAGGGTAACTCCGGTACATACGCCGCACCTATCCAAAAACTTTATTTATTACAATATTATTTACTATGTTTTTGAAATAAACGAACTCTGTATATCGGCAAAAACTTTGTACTGTCTACTGTTATAAAAAAAAAATATTAGAAATCCGAAATATTTATATTTCGTATTAAAAAATGAACTTTTTGAAACCGTTGGCATTTTTGCGGTATATCTCACAGGGGTGGAATATATGGCTACTCATAGAGGGAGGGATATGTATGGCTAAAAAAAATTTACAAATAATGCATATAAATAAGACGTAAAATGACACGGTAACTTATAAAATGCGATTATAAAGTTTTATTTAGAATGATAAATATGTATATGAAGTAATAAATAATAATTACAATCTTTCCAGATGTATTACAAGTGTTATGACATGAGGTACGTATTTCATGTAATGCGTTTATTGTATTTGATGCACTGAATTCAATCTGTATGCTTTGTATGCTTTGGGCATAAATCCCATCTGTTAAAAACGCCATATATCCCAAACAGATGGGATATATTATACAAGATAATAAACTAAATGGAGAATACAAGAGCAAAGTACTTGTATTTTGTTATACAACATACATTACTATTTCTCTACACTCACGTGATCACTACATCATGAAATAACCACTAAGTCTTTTGCACGTCCTACAGTAGTCATTTTATGTAGATTATAATTTATGATGGCGCTACTTAACACAGTGACAAATCGATTCAACTCACAATAATTTCATTAATATTAACAGTAAGAATTAACACAATACTAATATAACATAAAAGTATGTAACAGAGTAATTACGGGAAAATTACCTCCACTCTTTTTATTTTTTCTGACTTCTACGGCGTAAATCCCAGCGCGACGTATTTACCGGAATTACCGTATTTGCTGTGTCAAATTAATGATATTATAAAAGTTAAATTACAATAATTAAAAGTATTATCACTACATATATTGATTTCAACATGTTAAGTGTTATTCTGAAAAAAAAAGGAAGAAAAAAAACTTGCGTATTTTTTTTTTCTTTTTTTTTTTCTAAAAAACGCATGTTGACTTTAATCGTTATATCGACAATGAATGAATGATGATGATAATTTTTAATTTCATAATGCGATATGTAACAAAATTGTAACATAGCATTGTATCATATATCGTTTATTAAAACTTTAATTTTGTTTGAGTATCATTGATAATAGCACACTTTCGGGAGTGTTTTTAGATTCTTGCTTTGAGAATCTCTGTTTGGAGCAGATGGTAAACCAATAATGGTTTGCAAAGCGAACTGTCGCGATGTACCGAATTTGGATCTGGGAAGTGCGTGCGTACTTGGCCGTACCGTGATTATCGGCGATCGTACGCTTCCGATTGTTCCCGTTAAGGAAAGGGCACTGTCGCCGCGCCGCGCCGCGCCGCGCCGCGCGCGAGGGAGATTCGCTAGTTCTAGCATACCGCGAGAAATCAGAGTTCGCCATTAAAGCGTCACGTCGTGAAATAATGCGCGACCTAACACACAAACGAGGCGGTTACACCCACCGCGAGGCTAAAGCCACCGCGAGCGCGGAGAAAGCAAAAGGAATTTCGCAGCCGCGATATCACCGCGGCATTATTTTCCCTTCACCGTGCCACCTGCCATCCTTCGACATTGCATCGCGATTTTCAAAGGTACAATGAGAAATCGGAGCAGAAAACAGAGAGAGAGAGAGAGAGAGAAAGAGAGAGAGAGAAAGAGAGAGACTCTACGGGGCTAAATGGTTTAAAACGTTCACACTAATATTAACAAATAATAAACGCAATGGGAGTAAAAATAAATGTAGGAACATTAAACAAAACATTAAGTAGAGTTCACTTTTAAGTGAAATAACAATTCTAATTATTGTCAAGCGGGAGGAATCGAAGAGATTGCACTTGAAACCACCTAGGTGCTAGGAGGTATCGCGAGTGTCTTTCACCTGATAGACAGGGAGAGATCGGGAGATCTCTCAGAGAAAGAGAATTAAGAGAGAGAGAGAGAGAGCGAAAGCTGTAACGTGCACATTGGCACACACAGGGATCATTTATTCATACACCTACCACATCTTCATTAGAGACAGTACATGAAGCCGCGGATGATTTTGCAGAATTTGCTTTCTGGCGTCCGATGGATCAGTATATGCGTATCCGACCGGCCGAACCGACCATCGACTTGCCCCCCATACACCACGGTGTATTTATATTCGCGCTTACGCGCGTGCAATGTACTCGAGACGCGCGTCAACGCACCCGTATACACGCGTGTGCATACGTATCGCTAGGATATTTAACGTACGCGCGAGAACGGCGAATTCCCACCGTGTCGCCGTACCCACGTCGGGGTGTAACTTCTCCGTCCTTCCTTCTCTCTTTCTCGATGGTATATTCTATAATATGTATAGGCAGAGTTGCCGTTCGTTCGTTCGTTCGTTCGTATGTTTCTTCGGTCGAGGTCCGCTCCAGGTTGTTCGGTCTGTGTGTGCTCTCGCGGCCGAGGCTCCCACCAACGCAGCGCGCGACCTAGCCTTCTTACCCGCCCACCTACTCTATCGAGCAATCCACAAATGCATTCTTTCCTCTCTTCTTCCCTTCTGTCTCTCTCTCTCTCTCTCTCTCTTCTTCAGTTGCTCACCGTCTCCGTTCTTTCCGTCGGCTAGAGGCAGCGTATGCATCGCGGTCTTCTCTTTCTTCGTCTCTCTCTCTCTCTCTCTCTCTCTCTCTCTCTCTCTCTCTCTCTCTCTTCTTCAGTTGCTCACCGTCTCCGTTCTTTCCGTCGTCTCCCGTCGGCTAGAGGCAGCGTATGCATCGCGGTCTTCTCTTTCTTCGTCTTCTTCTCTCTCTCTCTCGTCCTTTCTTTTTTCCATCCACGTTCTCTGTATCTCCCTCTTCTTTTCGCCGCCGCGTGCTCTCTCTCTCTGTCTCTCTCTCTTTCTTTTTCCTCCTCCCTCTCTCTCTCCTACCGTCCATCCGTTCTCCGTTCCGTCTCTTCTCACCGTATCTC